CAGTCAAACAAAGGAAGTTATTCAATTACTTCAACCCTTCTGTCACTAGAAAGGTTACATGTGGATTTCAACTATCAAGCTTTCTTCCACTACTCACGCGTCTAATATATCAATCTGAACACATTTGACACATTTTAGTCATTTGGTTTATTTTAACCAAAAACTTATTTTTACTACTTTGGGCTATTTTCATCCGTAGACTCTTTTTCATTTATCCATTCTAAGTCCATGACTACCTAATTACTACTTTACATTACCTCAACTGATCTTATTTCACTCAAATCAAATTTTTACCCTAACTTTCTCTCTCTAAGGGCTAAAATTGAGCCTACAGATTCAAAACTCTACCATTTAGCTTTAAACTAGTCACACACCTCTAATTTAACTTTCAAGAACCTTTTTATTTCTATTGGGCAAGAATCAAACTTCTCAAATTCCCTCAATTCAATTTTCTTATAACCTATTTATGGAGAGATTTGTGTAGAATGGACGGTAAGAGTTATACATAGCTTACCTGACAAGTTATCGATCCAACTCACCTTCTACCACTCTAAAATGGCTTGACTTAGCTTTTCAGCCCTTCACCTCTCTCTATCTTGTGTGTTTCTCAATTTTACTCCTCTGAAATTTCTGAAATTTCATGACTTATGAAGGTAATTTCTGATCCATGTGCCATGGCACACGTAGCACAAGCCATGGCGCATGATACAGTAAGATTTATTCTCACCGCACGCACTTACTTAGACTCGAAACGCACTCCTATCGCTCGTATCTGCTCACACAACACACAAACAAGTCAAAATATCAATTTATCATCCAAATCTCTAATCTCATACTAACTTTCACTTCACCTTCCATTAACCTCTAAACTCAGGATTAAGAAATTCAGGATATTACAGTACCTAATCAAGAACTCACTTCCTCTTTTAAAATACCAAAGTCCTAATGTGTCTGTATCTTTGAGATATCGAAAATTCTCTTCATGGCTATCATATGACATTCCTTTATAGTTGATTAAGACCTTGCATAGAGACCCACACTGAAGGGTATGTATGGACGACTTGTTGTCAAGTATAAGAGAGATTCAATCATCCCTTTATAAGCATTACACAATCAAACAAATGGTCAATGTTTTGGGTTTGTCAAAATTAGGCAACATTGCATTGTGCTAGAAACTTGGAGGGGAACATCATTACCTTTCTCCTTAGTTGAGGATGCCAGACACCCCTCGCATAATACTTTAGGGGTAGATTTGCATCATAACCTAAAATTTATATACAAATTGGAGGGAGGGAAGGGGAACTGAAACCTAAAAATTTGTGTGTTTGGTATACATGAAGAGACTTCTTGGAAATTGAGTTTCATCAAATTTTATGGAATTGGGTTCCACACCCAAAACCCTAGCTCCACTTCTCTAAATCTCCACTTGTTGATCATTTAGCCCTAACACCCCCTCTCCCGTTAAACAATCCAAAGTGTAACATCTTGAATTTTAAGTTTCAAATTAAATAAGTGAATGAAGAGTAAATAGGTAAATTGATTTGTAAATTGATTTGAGGATGGTTATAGATTGGGCTAAGAAATGATTTAGGCCTCCTGGACCAAATAGAGAAATAAAATTGGGCTTGGCCTCTCTGTACCATCTATCATAGGGATGGAACAAAATCATAATTTAATTTGGGCAAACTCACAACAAAAGAAAAGAAGGAAAGTGAGGAGAAAGCGAATGGAGCTAAATTCTCTCTACTAAGGCAAAGTTCAAGCTCAAGTTCAAGAGAGTTTTGGACTTTAAATCATTAAGGTAATCCTCTCCTCTTCTACACTTTTTTGAAGCTAGAGTTTATAGTGGGGTATGATGATTTTTTAATTTAAGGAAATGGAACTAATGAGAGTTGTTAAAGCTTTGTACGCCTAGATTTGATGTTTATAAAGCTATGTGCATGGGTTTTCAAGTTTGAATGAACCCTAGGTGCAAAAAGTGAAGATTTGAGTGTTGGAAGTGATAGATTGGTGTTATTTAAGCTAATGGTAGTTAGATGAAGATAATGGAAGATAATATACACCTTGGTTAAGAAAAATATAGGAGTTGTGACATTTTGGGTTGATTGGATCTTATTTAGATAGTTGGAAATAAGTGACGTGGTGTTAATAATTGATGTTGATTGTTATGAATTGTAGACAACCACCTTGATCACCAATTAAGCTTGAAAATTAGCTTAGGAAGCAAATGTTGAGCAAGGTGGAGGAATATAAGTCATAAGGGTTATGATGCCAAATAGGTTGAGTTAATTGCCTAATGCACCTCTCTTCTCTGGGTTCATGCTCATTCCTATGGTCTTCATCATGTACATGGACATGCTCACGACCTATTCTGCCTTCCATTATTGAATCACTAACCAGATGTGAATCAAGTATGGGTTGTCTGTTTTTTCAATCTCTAAAATGTCTTTTCAATTTCTGGATCTAATTCAACAAAAGAGTTATATTTCCTACAAGTCATGCAAAAATTAAGCTCAAGACAATCAAGAACAACATACAAGCAATACTAAAATGCAAACAAGTGAAGATAAAAGCACACCAAACACGCTAAAATTGGAAAAAAGAATTCCAATTTTTCAAAGCTGTCCAAGAATTTTAGCAAGAATAAACGCAATTAAAATTCAATTCAACACCTACAAAGATGAAAAAAAATTCACACAAACAAAAATCACATAAATTAAATAAGTAGAATGTTAAAAATGCTCATTCGAAATGTTGTCCAAATTTCTAGAAATCCTGTAGCTAGCTTCCTAGAGTCAGTGAGCTTGGAAACTATGAATGAGAGAGTCCCTATGTCCAAATCTTCTAAAAACTTTATGTAATGCATCCAAGATATAGAGGATATGTCTATAAAAATCTCACTTCAAAACTCATTGTTAGGCATTCCCAGAACATCACACATGTTGGTTAACGGCTCTGGAAAATCAGAATTTCTTCTAGATGACCTTGCAAGGTTCTAATACTCTTTCAAACAGGTTAACGACAACATTAATGAAAAGGACCAATATAAGAAAAAGAGCTAATACAATAAGGAATAATTCGAGACTAGGATCAGGCAATTCAAACACATAGAGTGAGAGATATGCTCACTTAATATTTCCTCATGGTTCTGGAATCCTTTGTTAAGACTTCTTGGACTTTGTTGGCTTGTAAAAAGTGCACAAAGAAGTTCTCACGTCCAAAATTGACATAATGAGAGCTAAGGAGCATCGATTTCAAACAAATGAACTCCCAAGTAAAAGTTCCCCCAGTGTCGTTTTCCCAGTGATTTTTTGAATTTAGGGCAGAGATGTTGCAAACAAAGACAATGCAAGAATTTGCTCTCTTGATGTCTAGCTCTCCTCTTGACAACCTAGAATACAACTTCCCTTTTTATTTTCTTTTTCAAAATTTTGACACAAAGCTACAAAAACCACAGAACCTAAAACAAGACTAAAAATGCAAAGAAAATAATTTAAACATACAAAATTCAAATCTAGAATTAAAACAAACACAATAAAAACACTAAAAATTGAAAACACAATTTTTTTTATTTTAAAAAATTTTAAAAAAAATTTAGCAACCAATAAAAGTTCAAAAATGCAAATAAGCACTAAATCAACCTTGAAATCAAACTTGGCACACTCCCCAGCGATAACATGAAATTTTGACTTGGCTATCGCACATCTAATCAAAATAGTACTAGAATTAACCATAATATAGCAAGGGATCAACCCAGGTCATGTCCTTAAGAGTAGCTAGCATGAAATTTTGACTTGGCTATCACATATCTAATCAAAATAGTACTAGAATTAACCATAATATAGCAAGGGATTAACCCAGGTCATGTCCTTAAGAGTAGCTAAACTTTAACTATGAGATTAACTAATGAAATAAGTCACCTAAAAGTTTGAAGTTGATTTCTTAATTACCTATTGTGCAAATAACTAACTCTAGACTAAAATGAGTGAGTTGGAAATTCCCTGTCAAAGAGTTGGAACTTTAGATATTAGTTGATATTAGAACCCTTATCTCCTTGATGATTTAAGCTAACTAAGTGCTCCCTATCCTCTAAAAAATTATCCTAAGTCAATTATCCTAACTAGCTTAATTTTCTAAGTCTTAGATTAAAGTTTTTAGTTCATTTTACTAGTTGGTGCAAGTATTAGTTAAGTGTGACAATTACCTCATCCTCATGTGCCATGGCCAAACAAGAAATATGAGCAACCACAAAATTATATTAAGCTACTCAGGTGACAAGCAACAATCCCATAAGATTATGTAACATTAATGCAAGCCATTCACTAAAAGAAAAATACAATTAATTACAAAATTCTTCAAGTGGCCGAAATCAGTCATAAGCACATTCTCTTTACACAAAAATTAAATTCAAATCAGAATTGCAAAGCTATGATAATCAAATCCTCAATTAAAGTATTTAATCATTAAGTTAAAAGATAAGAGTTAGGAATTTAGGAAAGCTTGGCCATGAAACTCATGATTCATCCTTCATCTTCATTTCTCTAGCATTCCTCCAAAGTGCCTAGCCTCTCATCTCCATCTCCATCTCCATAGTCTTCTTCATCTTCTTAGCTTGGCCAAAACTCGTGACCATTGAAGTGAGGAATTAAAGCTTGAAACCTTGGGAAGAGTAGTGGGAAAGGGGTGAAAATGATGGAGAGAAGGAGAATGGTTTGTGTTTTGTGGCGATTTATGTGAGAAATGAGGGAGAAATGAAGGTGGATGAATGGTTTGGTGTGAAGAACAATAAAGAACAAGTGAACGAGTGGGAGGAAATGAGTAAAGGGTAAGGGAGACACATAGCCATGTACGCACATAAATATGTCAATAATTTAAAAACATGGCATTTTTCAAGTGAGAAGGTGGCGTTATCACTTGAACAAGTAGCCGTTGACAATTTATTAAAAAAATTTAAAAGCAATCTAATATGTATTAAAAAAAAATGATAGAAGCAACATTCATCATGATAATTTAAGTTCCTTTATTCTTTGTTCCATCTAGCATAAAGCATAAAGCATTATTTATTAGAAACACCAACAAGGTGCCACAATTGGGTGCACCCATACATATCTAGGCTCATTATGGCACACCCTTATTTAAGTTACATATATAAAAGAAAGTCTTAATTGAAAGTAAGTTGGTACTTGGGTGACTGGTCAGGATTGAAAAGACCAAAATGCCTCTCAGTTTCTGCACCTGGCTTCAAGTTTTCATCAAACATGGCAAACAAATACGTCTCAATAGGACCATTTGGCCTCTTTGGAGTCCCACCTTTGACATGATTAATCAAATTCTTGTAGTAAGTTCCTGCATTGTCCACAGTTGCGCCAGTTCCACCAGCAGAAGGCCACCCGCTTTCAGACACAACAATGTTTACACTTGAAGCTCCCACTTTCTCTAAAGCAGCATACATAGAATCCAGCAAAGCATCAAACAAATTTTGATACCCAGCATCGTTTGTTCCTTGTTGAGTGAACAATGCATAGTCAAGAGTAATGCTTTGTGTGTTGCCAGTATATGAGAAATAAGGATATATGTTAGCAAGAAGTGGAGCTCCATTATTGGATAGGAAGGTGATGATAGGGTTTATATAGCCATTATCGGTGAAAGCTCCATTACTAGGAGGGTAAGAGTTTTGAATTAGTGAGCTATCTATGGCTGTGGACACTTTGATTTGGCCTTGTAAGTTTGCCGCAGAAATCGCGCTCTGAATGTTCTGCATAGCCGGGAGGACGGAGGATGCTCCGGCATCGCCAGGATGGACTTCATTCCCGACGGCGATGTACTTGAATTTCACGTCTGAGTAGGGTTTGACATACTTGTTCACCCAATCTGTGGCAGCACCAGCGTTTGTGAGAGATTGAAGGCTATCATTAGGAACACCAAGAATGACTTCAATGTTTGAACCCCTTAGAGCCTGGAGGGTGGCTTCATCAGGATTGTATATACGCATTCTGCCTATTCCATTGGATTTGTATAAGTTCACCACATCCTGTTTGCTTGGCAGGTTGTTCCCATCTGAACCATAACACACCCCAATTGATTGCGCACCTGCATAAAAATAATTGTGATTTTAGCAACTAAATGTTAAGTAGGCTATTCCTATATTCATCAAATATAATATTGGTTAAGCTATATCTGAATAAAAAGCTTAACTACGTGTTTAAGATAGTATAATTTTTATATATTATATAGACTTTATGTATATTTATTTGAAATAATATTTATATCTCAAAATTATTCAATTTATATTCAAATAACATTTATTATCCGAATAATCGACATATAACTTCCATTTTTTTTAAAAAGGAATATAGTTGTTAGAACTAAAAAAAAAAAAAAAAGCGAAGTCGAAGAATTTAGAACTTCAATTCAAAAGTGACGACTGATAATGCACCTATACGGAACCACCTAGTCAACCGTTGACCTTGACTACAAACGTTAAACAGCTTAAATTGACCTTCACTGTACATCCTTATCTAAAGAAAGAAATTATTGCAATCATTTTTCATTTTACAAGTCCGAACTATTGGAGAGAAAATCAATGATAAGCACCACCCATTCACTATCTATATCATGAATTAATCAATCAGTCAACATCGACATTAACCATAAAATTTGTAGAAAGTTTTATATATAACCTTAAACAATGTCTAATTAATATTAATAATTATATAAAAAATTCAGTTATTAAAACTCTAGAAAAACTCAACTCAGAATTTTTTTTCTAAAGAAAAAAACAAATAGGGAACGAAGTGATGAAGGATATATAACTTCAACTATATAATCAAATGGAATTAATTAAGACTTGATTTCGTTTAATAGATAGATTATTAAACACACGCAGTTCATTTTATTTGATTATGAGAAAAACAACATAGTCGAAAATTAAACTAACAAATCTTTTTTAAGAGATCTCAAGCCAAGTCCGTTGATACATGAAAATCATTTTTTTCAAAAAAAAAAATAATAATAACACCATGAAAAGCAATATTAGGTATAGGATAGACAGATAAGTTACATAAGGCAAATCAATAAAGAAGCTCATCCTTAGGGGAATAAAGCTTCCATTAAATCAATTAAAGGAAGGGAAGAGATCTAGAGAGATAGTTACACAATGAACAATATTTCTCCATTTATCCATTGAAAACGATAGGGTCTATTGATAGTTACATATAATGCCAACACAATAAAGAATATCTCCATGAAAAGAGGAGATGGAGAGAGAGACCTGTAAATTGGATCCCCATGGAGGAGAATACACCAAGAAGCAGAAATATGGCAATGTTTCTCGTGGAGAAAAATGTATCCATGGCTATGGCCTAAAAACAAAAGCCAAATATTAATAAGTTATGAATGATCGAATTCTATTTGTGACACCTTGCTCTGCTCTAAGAGCCTCTATTTATACACAAACATAAGCAAGTTCTGTACGAAGGACGCAAACACTTTTCCCTTCTCCGTAAATCACTCCATTGAAATTCATTGAATCATCACTTTGAATTTTCACTTGATCTCTCAATTTATACTTCCAGAAACAATAAATCATAAGATCAAGTTTACAACGCAACACGTATCCTCTTTCTGGTCCAAGTCAAGCAGCCTCCTTAATTTTTGGTCTCTAGTCAATAGCACAGCAGCCTCACTTCTGAAAAACCTTGCCTTGGAGCTAACTCCACATCGATGTACGAATACGTATGCACTATAAAATATACAGATAATCTCACTGTTTATAGATCATAATTCTATGAAAGAAAAAACTTATATATATACCCAGTCTTGTATATTTGATGTATTTGTTTTCAATTAAATCATGGCATATGTATTTTGTCTATATTAGTTATTATATAATAAATTCTTGTCATAAATTTTATTAACATATTAAGATCCACCTGTTATATATTAGTAAGTATGTTAAATATATTAAAAAATTTGCATGGATCTACAATCAAATTTTACAAATGAATAGTTAATTTCATATTTTTTTTAAAATTATAATTTACACTAAATGAGAATTGTGCTTTGTCAAAGCATCCGCGCCTTGGAATAGACGTGCTATGTCTTGTATTATAATTATAATTTTCTCTAGCTATTAGTTTACATTCTAATAAAGTGTATTCACATTGTTCAGGGACTATATTTTATTAAAGTATACTCCCTCCGTTCAAAAATATAAGTCATTTTTTAAAAAGTTGTATGTTCAAAAATGTAAGGCATTTTTAGTCTTTTAAGATATAATTATTGTCTTTTTTTTTCAAAGGTGCCCCTATTGATAATGATTTTATATTTATTATAGGGTATTTAATAAGGATAAATATGAAAAGGTGGGATTAGTTGGAAAGTAGATAATTACTTTATTAGGAATGAGATTTGATTAAAAATGTCTTACTTTTTTAAATGGAGGAAGTATATAGGTTAAATACACTATTATTTGAAATATGCTTGCTAATAATATGAATAGATATTGCATTGCTAACTCACTCAAGTTAAGATGGCATTACAGCCAAATAACCTTTGTGGACAAATTTAAATTAGACAATAAAACTATTTCTAGATATGACTAAATTATATTAATGTATTATATATAGTTCATTATATAATAATGTATCCCATGAAATCCTTGACTTTAAAGCTGAAAAATGGGTGAACACGGTTCATATGGGCTTGGCCCTTAAGGGCTCAAGCCCATAAGCCCATTTTTTCAAAATTGATAATTTTTTGAAACCCAACCCTTATTCAAAAGGTTCATGATTGAGCTTGTAAGCCTATTTTTATTATTTTTAAAATTTTAAAAAATTAAAATTTTCAATTATAATATTTACTATTTTTTAAAATACAAATTATAATATTTAAAAATTAAAAATAAATAATATAAAGTCTAATTTTAAAGTATAAATATATATTCTAAATTTTAAATTCAATTTAAAAATTAAAAATATTTTATTTTTTAGGGGTAAAAAAAATAAGGGCCTAAAAGGATCGACTAAGCCCCTTTTTTAGGGCCTATTAAGGTCAAGTTCACAACTTAAAGTTTTAATATTTTTATTTTTGAAACTCAAACCCTTATAAAAATAGGCTTAAATAGGTGGCTCACCAAACTAAAATTGATGATGATGCAAATTAAAATTGATCTAAATTTTGAGGACTTAGAATATATAGAAGTGTAACTAGAATGTATTAAGATCAATATTAGGCCAGAATGGGTGAGGAATCGGAAATGAGAGGCTAAAAATTTGAGATTAAAGGAAATGGGGTAGTCGGCCACATATTTGAGACTTGCATGCAGAAACAGACAGAATGGATCATATCCAAATTTAGTACAAGGGGTAGAATTGCTTTTATCTAGCATCGAATAGAATGCATCCTATCATAACATAAAACATGAGAAAAGAAGGGAAAATAGAGGGAGTTCAAGGTTACCCTGCTATGGCATGGCTTTTAGGAGGGTTGGGAGTGATTTTGAGGCTTTTAACTACTTGCTAAGTGATCTAGACTTGTTCTGCCCCTTGGATCCCTAGTTTGGGGATTTGGAAGATTAGGAAACTAGGGTTTAATTGGACTTCAAATTTGAGAGATTTTCTATTGATTATTTTGTGATTTTATGGTTTAGATGTATTTTTCTAGGATGGTTTTGAGGTTCAATATATTAATGGGGTTTAGAATTTAATTGATGGGGAAATTCAGAAAGGATAATTGATGATCTTAATGGATCAAGTGGATCATGAATTGATAGGGATTTGTTAGAATGAGGATGAACAAACCCTAGAGTTGAAGCTTTGATTTTGGGGATTTAATTTAGAGTTAATTTTGATTAGTTGTAATTAAATTGATGTTATTTATTATTAATTGCGTAACTATTCTTGGAGGTTTTGGGCCCATAATCCTTCAAGTAGTGTTGCATTTGTGTAAGCGTGAAATAAGGAAATACTAATTTATTCTTTTATATACTAGGAAATCTATATTTTGTGTAATTTGATCTTTATAAATTGTTATGAGACCCAATGAGGGGTGGTATGGATTTTATTGGATTTGAACTTGCATTTTGTGTTGAAACTGTATGTTGAAACCTGTCCAACATGCATGTACATCTTTGGAATGTTAGATATTTAATTTTAATCCTTTAACCATGATCGTAGTGTAAATATGAAAGTTTAATGTTGGAATTGCTTTATGATTGCTTTAAACTTTTCAATCGTGCATGTATGTATTGAAAACCTTGAGAATTATATTGTACTTTAATTATTTTCAAGCATGCTTGTGTCAAAATTTATTGTTACTTGTTGTGATGCACTTAGTAGTGTATTGTGACTAGATGGTGGATGTTATAGAATTGTATTGTATGTTTTGTTCTTTTACCATGTGGTAGGCAACCACTTGATGCAAAGTGAGTGGCTCATTTTGGAGTGCTTATGAAAAAAAAAAAGTTTTGAAATATTGATGTGGAAACTTTTAGAGCACTTATAAAAATAAGCGCTCCAAAAAAGGTAACATATGAGAAAAGTACTATAGCATATGGAAAAAGAAACTAGTAAAGCTACACAAGCGCTTAAACTATAGAAGTTCTAAAACGCTTTTCTCCTAAGCACTCTAGAATGTTTGAGAAAAAATAAATAAATTTTTTCAAACATTAAACTTTCAGAGTTCTTTATTAGTAAGCACTCCAGAAGGTCTCAAAAGAAAAAATAAATTAAAAAAAATTAACCTGCCTAAGCACTTACAAGAAAGCTCTTGGGTAGCTAGGTCTCTAAAAATTCTTTTTTTTTTAAAAAAAAAAAATAACATTCCAAGTACTTGTCATGTAAGCACTCTGGAAGGTCAAACAAAAAAAAATATTTTTTAAAAGACCCTTTTGGAGCTCGTTTAAGCTAAGCACTCCAAAAGGTAAAAAGAAAAAAAATTTTATGACCCATCAAGAGTGCTTTTTCCCTAAGTGCACTAGGAGGTCACAGAAGAAAAATATTTTTTTTTAAAAAAAGAAGAGTTGTCTACTTTTTTCCTAAGCTCTCCAGAAGGTCATATAAAAATAATTTTTTTTTAAAAAAAAACCCTTTCAGAGTGCTTTTTCCCTAAGTACACATAATTCAATTTAATAAAATGTGACATCATAAAATCTAATTAAAGTGTAACATTCTATTCACATTTAGAAGAAAAAATTTATTAAAAATGTCCAAGTAATGGATGGACAAAATTATACAAAATTCTCACACAAATGCTTTTTCCCTAGAATTCATTCAACCCATTGAAATCAACACTTAAGCTTTACAAAATCACTTACTCATAGTAGAAACACTTGAATTAATTCCCTAGGGTTACATGCAATGCCTTGGGTTTGACGAGAACCTTTTTGTAGTTCATATTTCACTTGCCCAAAGCTTAAACTCAACAAAAACAAGATGGAGAAGAAATGGAGAATGGTAGGAAGCTTACCTAAGTGACTGAGGACTCAAATTAGCTTGCAAACTTGCTTAATCCAAAGCCCTAGCACAACCTTAAACCTCCTCCTTCGAGCTCTCTAAATTACCAAACTCCTCCTCTATTTTGAAGTATTGAATCATGATTTGATTAAGTCGGATTCATGACCATGCACCACCGTATGTCACGTACATGCTACAGCATACGATAGACCAAACTAACCTTACTTTTTCTTCACTTGTTTCGACCCAACTTGATCCAATTTCAATCCTAGCTTGACCTTAGATCTTTCTAATGATCCAAAACACTAATTAATAACCCAAAGACAAGATTAACAAAATTAATCATTTCATTTACTAATTCCTTTTAATTAGCAATTAAGTTCTAAATTAAAATATCAAGATATTATTGTTCTTCCCTTATTTAAAAGAATTTTTTCCCTAAAATTCAACAACCACAACAATACATACCTAAGGGAACAAATGCAAATAATGCTTCCTCATGTTATCATCTATTTCTCAAGTAGTATTTGTAACATCATGAATTTCTAATCTTGTATTAATTACTGATTTCAGAATGAATTAGTGATTTAATGTGAAATTAGTGGTTTAGATAGTTGAATGTTATATTAACTCCTTGCGATGTGATATGAACAAATATGAGCGAAAGAAAGAAGTTATGGAGCAAAGCGTGTGAGCATAGTAAGGATTACCCTCACTGTGCAGCACATCGCAGACAAGAATGGCTACGTCACAATGTATGGTGCAGAAACTTGATTAAGTATAACATATCTTACTCAAAAAATAGAAGAGAAAAGAAAGAAAAAGGGGATCAGGCATGGAGAAGAGAAGGAGGCCTACTAGGAAATTGAGTTTCGAGAGCAAGAGTAATGTTTCTGACCTGTTACTTATTGGGTAAGTCTTGTATTGTCTTTGATTCTACCCTATTTTCTTAGTTTTAACTAGTGAGAAATTAAAT